AAAAAAAAAAAAAAGACCTAGTGATGGGCGTGCAGTGTATCTGCATAGCCACACCATGCATTTCGGTGTGGAGCAGTAAGGAAGACTGGAATACCTTTTATCTGCCACAGCTCCTTTCTCCAAGCCATTGGCGCATGTGGTAACTGCAGTTGCAGGCATCCTATTGCACACATGCAAATGGCTGGGGAAAGGAGTTCATGCATTGCTAGCACCAGCCCCACCAACAAGGTCAGCTCCCCATCAGGTTCCAGAAGAAGATGACTTAACTGTATTTGAATAAATGTAGATTGTTGTATTATACTTAATAAAAATAAGACATCCCCTGATAATAAGCCCTAGTGTGTCTTCTTGAGAAAAAAATCAATATAAAAGAGTGTCTTATTTTCAGGGAAACATGGTAGTTGGAGATTGCTATGAGCTGTGATGCCATGGCACTCTATTGTGGATGGTAATAAATAAATAAATACACAAATACTAACAACAGCTGATGAATATTAAAAAAGGTCTGGGCAAACTTTTCACGATATCCTACACCACAGATAAGCAAAATAGTCCTTGAATAATCTGCATGCAGCCCACAGCCCTCAAGTTGAACACACCTAGTAGGGTAAGGTAATGTTGCAGAGTAGCAATATAGATCTAGTTTATTCCTTCTTAAAGCTTTATGGCGACATAATTTACATATAACAGAATTCGCCAATTTTTAGTACAATTTGATAAGTTTTGACAAATGTATATCTATATATTGCACCATTTTCACAATGTAACCACCACCATAATCAAGATATAAAACATTTCTAGGCAGAGAGTGGTGGCTCACACTCGTAATCCCAGCACTCTGGGAGGCCAAGGTGGGTGGACTGCTTGAGCTCATGAGTTTGAACCCAGCCTGAGCAAGAGTGAGACTTCCCTCTCTACTAAAAATATAAAAACTAGATGGGCTTTGTGCAGGACACTTAATAGTCTCAGCTACTCAGAAGGCTGAGGCAAGAAGATGCCTTGAGCCCAAAAGTTTGAGGTTGCTGTGAGCTATGACACCAGGGCACTCTACCCAGGATGACAGAGTAAGAATCTGTCTCCAAAAAAAAAACATTTCCAGCATCACAAAAAGTACTCTGTAGTCAATCCCCTACCACTTTGATCATGCAATGGTCTAGTGGACTCCTTGCAATGACCAACTTACTTTGTTTCTATACTTTTGCTTTTTTTTTT